TTCCACTAGGCCTTTGCAGCTCAATATATATAGAGTTCGTGGATCAACAGCATACATTCAGGGCATAACCCCTGCTGGATTAGAATCTGTGTTACAATATCCTCAGGTGATTTACACACGCATTTCATTTTCAGAAGTACTCTTCTAGATCACAGTACAATGAACTAACATCCCAAAGGAGGAAAAGAAAAAAAAAAAAATTGAAACAAAATGGAATATGGAACAATGGCACATGAAATCAGCAAATTAAGCATAGAAAATAAATATAATTTCTACTGGTTCTATAATGAACACATCTGTTATTTTTAAATATAGGAAATCTTAAGAAAGGTAACTTGTAAGCACAATTTCCTTGTGCTTGTTTAGAGAAGATCAGTATAAATATATGAAAATATATTATTTTTTTTTCTGTTCATCTTATGACTTCTAGTAACCCTATAAACTGTCAGATACAGCTAATATTAAAAACAACAAATTATACTTCTGTTTATTTTATTTGGATGTTGCTCATTAAAATTTTACATTATATACAATTGCTATCAGATTTTATGTGTGAGATTAATATTATATTAAATGATACTTTTGCAAAGAAAGCAGCTAAAGGAAGCAGATGAGTAGATTCATAACATCACAGCTGTTCTTAAAATTAAACAATTAGCAGGCAATACATTGGAATAATCTCTCATATATTGTATAGCATAATTACAAAATTGTTCATCAAGAGACCTAAATTTCTCTACCACTATTAAGAGTGATGTGTTAATTATCACTGGTGACTGGAATGCAAAAGTTGGAAACAAAGAAGAATCACCGGTAGTTGGAAAATTTGGCCTTGGTGACAGAAATAATGCTGGAACTCGTATGGTAGAATTTTGCAAGACCAAAGACTTGTTCATTGCAAACACCTTTTTTCAAAAACACAAACGGAGGCTGTACACATGGACTTCACCAGATGGAATACACAGGAATCAGATTGACTACATCTGTGGCAAGAGGCGGTGGAAAAGCTCAATATCTTCAGCCAAAACCAGGCCAGGAGCTCATAGGCAAATTCAATTTGAAGTTAAAGACAATGAAAACAAGTCCAAGAGAGCCAAAGTATGATCTTGAATATATCCCTCCTGAATTTAGAGATCATCTAAGGAATAGATTTGATGCATTGAACACCAACAACCAGAAGCCAGATGAATTATGGGAAGATATCAAGAACATTATCCATGAAGAAAGCAAGAGATCACTAAAAAGACAAGAAAAGAAGAGAAGACCAAAATGGATGACAGAGGAGACTCTGAACCTTGCCCTTGAGCGGAGAATTGCCAAAGCAAATGGAAGAAATGAAAAGGTAAAAGAGCTGAACAGAAGATTTCAAAGAGCAGCTCGAGTAGACAAAGCCAATTACTATAATGAAATGTGCAAAGACCTGGAGTCTGAAAACCAAAAAGGAAGAACACGCTCAGCATTTCTCAAACTGAAAGAACTGAAGAAAAAATTTAAGCCTCGAGTTGCAATAGTGAGAGATTCTATGGGCAAAATATTGATGATGCAGGAAACATCAAGAGAAGATGGCAGGAATACACAGAGTCACTGTACCAAAAAGAACTGATCAATCTTCATCCATTTCAGGAAGTGGCATATGATCTAGAACCAATGGTAATGAAGGAAGAAGTCAAAGCTGCAATGAAAGAACTGGCGAAGAGCAAGGCTTCCGGAATTGATGGCATACCGATTGAGATATTTCAACAAACAGATGCCCCATTGGAGGCACTCACTCAGTTATGCCAAGAGATTTGGAGGACAGCTACCTGGCCAACAGACTGGAAGAGATCCATATTTGTGCCCATTCCAAAGAAAGGTGATCCCACAGAATGTAGAAATTATAGAACAATATCATTAATATCACATGCAAGTAAGATCTTACTGAAGATAATTCAGAAATGTTTGCAGCAATATATTGATAGAGAACTTCCAGAGGTTCAAGCCGGATTCAGAAGAGGACGTGGAACAAGGAATATCATAGCTGTTGTCAGATGGATCTTGGCTCAAGGCAGGGAATACCAGAAAGATGTTTACTTGTGTTTTATTGACTATGCAAAGGCATTTGATTCTGTGGATCATGACAAATTATGGACAACATTGAGAAGAATGGGAATCCCTGAGCACTTGATTGTACTCATGAACAATCTGTACCTTGACCAGGAGGCTGTCGTTCCAACAGAACAAGGGGACACTCCATGGTTTAAAATCAAGAAGGGAGTGTGTCAGGGTTGTATTCTGTCTCCACACTTATTCAATCTATATGCTGAGCAAATAATCCAAGAAGCTGGACTATATGAAGAAAAACGTGATATCAGGATTGGAGGAAGAATCATTAACAACCTGAGATATGCAGACGATACAACTTTGCTTGCTGAAAGTGAGGATGACTTAAGGCACCTACTGGTGAAGGTTGAAGAATACAGTCTGCAGTATGGATTACATCTCAACATAAAGAAAACAAAAATCCTCACAACTGGACCAATGAGCAGCATCACAATAAATGGAGAGAAGATTGAGGTTGTCAAAGAATTCACGTTGCTTGGTTCTACAATCGATACCAACAGAAGCAGCAGTCAGGACATTAGACGACGTGTAGCATTGGGAAAGTCAACTGCGAAGGAACTGTTTCAAGTGCTGAGGAGCAAGGATATCTCCTTGAGGACTAAGGTGTGCCTGACACAAGCCATGATATTTCTAATCGCCTGGTATGCTTGTGAGAGCTGGACAATGAATAATGAAGACCGAAGAAGAGTTGATGCTTTTGAGTTGTGGTGCTGGCAGAGAATGCTGAAAGTACCACGGACTGCTAAAAGAACTAACAGATCTGTCCTGGAGGAAGTGCAGCCAGAATGCTCCTTGGAAGCAAGAATGGCCAGACTTCGTGTCACCTATTTTGGTCATGTTGTAAGAAGGGACCATTCCCTGGAGAAGGATGTCATGCTTGGTAGGGTGGAGGGTCAACGAAAAAGGGGGAGGCCTTCAATGAGATGGATTGATATGGTGGATGCAATGATGGGATCAAGTATAGCAGGGATTGTAGGGCTGGCACGGGATCGGGCAGTGTTTCGTTCTGCTGTGCATGGGGTCGCTATGATTCAGAAATGACTCGATGGCGCTTAACAACAACAACAACATTAAGAGTGAGTAACAAGATAACATTGGGCATAGATTTATAGGAAAGAAAATAAAAAAAAAATGAACATTTTTGTATAAACCCATGAGACATTCAAAGGTAAAGGAATCTCCTATTTTTTAATGTTAATAAAGAACTATAAATTCATCTATATTATCATGACATAGTCTGAATATAAGGAAAACATTCCATCTTTTATTTTAATATTATAATTGATCTTGATTAAACAAATTTTCAAGTGAAAAAACATATCAGTAACTGAATTTGGTCAACAAAATGATATATTTATATATATACATCTTAGTGGACAAATGTTGCATAACAAGGTCATATTCTATGTGATATATTTATAGTTAATTGTCAGACTTGATATTTTATGCTTCCTTCTCTTTTTATTAATGTTAAGGATTTTTGCAGTTCTCAAAAATCACATAAAACACTCTCGTGATAAAATAATTAGGTAAATTTTGACTTCCTAATGTATAAAGACAAATACAAACGTGAATTTTTAACAATAAGACAACATTTATCTGTTTTTATTCTTTACTATTATTATATTGTTTATTGAAATCAAAGAATATGACACACATACTTCTCTGGAAATAAGTGAAATTCAATACACAATACAAATATCCACAGGAAATTCAGAATTACTTAGAAGTTAGATATTTGTATAAAGTCAGATCTTCTCCAAAACAGAGAAGCTGAACTTAGATCACTAATGTTGGTCGTCCAGTATATGATTAATATATATCTTTAATGTTTTAAATATAAATTATAAAAATGCATAATGAAATCAAGCATTTTATGCATGCTATATAAAAGAAAGCATTTTTCTCCAAAAATATAATTTTCATTTGATTTTGAACAATATGAAAAATAATAGTAGAAGAGAGCTGGATAGATATTTCCCCTCAACTATAACTATGTTTAAGATCTTGTTATAATGATATCTTAACCTTAGCCTATCATTTTGCTTTCTTATTCATTAAAATTGTCCTCTACTTGTCAGCTACTTCAGATCTGAGAAATTGCAAACTAAATGAAAATATCCTTAATGACGTTTTCCACAAAGAACAAACAATCCCCAATTATTCCACTTACCAGTGAATCTGAAACATACCCAGTAAGGTCAAATATCAATAAATGAATCCATGTTGGGAGGAAAATACCCTCTTTTATGCAAAATGATTTCCTCAGCCAAATGAGCAACATTTTATCTCAATTTAAATTTTACTGTAAAGTTATATTTAACTATTCAAATCAATGAGCACTTTCTTTTCTCTACCATATGTGACAACTATCTAATCTTAGATCTTCTTTACAAATTTATGGTCACCTCAGATTTTTCATTTTAAATCATAGCTCAACTATATTATGCTTTCTATTAAGTAGAACCAGATAGTTGTGAATTTGATTTTCCCAACTATGCTTGTCATTCAAATAATTAAGATTATCTTCCAATAAAATTTAAGTCTAAAAGAGTGGACTAATTTAGTAAAAGGGCTTGCATTTTTCAAATTGAATATAAAAAACCCTTGCATTTAGTTATAATTTAGGTGAATTTGAAACCAAAGGAATAAAAACACTATGCCCCACCCTTTTATTTTATTTCTGTATATTTATCCTAAAATTAATTTTTGAAGAAATTTTATTTTTATTTGGTCAAATTGAAATGTCATAAATGTTGAACTAACAAATATTTGTTTTGTTTTGTTTTTAATTGGTAAATATAGGGAAAAGGTGCTTCAAGTAGTGGCTTGACTCAATGAAATATTTTAAATTGTGAAAGATAATGTCACAGAATTTTTATTTTTATTTTTATTTTCAGATGTAAAATATTTAAAGGAAGAAGATGCAAATCGCAAGACTTTCACAGTCAGCAGCACACTAGACTTCCGAGTGGACCGGAGCGATGACGGAGTGGCCATTGTCTGCAGAGTAGACCATGAATCCCTCAATGCCACCCCTCAGGTAGCGATGCAGGTGCTAGAAATACACTGTAAGTAAACACTGTGCCTTCCTTCTTTTCTCTGCAACAAATCTCTTTATCTACACTTACAATAACTTTAATACTATCTAATTACAGCAAATGTACAGCAATATCTAAAGTGAAAGAAATAAAAATATACTCATTAGTATTAATCAAATTTAAGGGAAAGTAGACCTTCTCTGAGTGTCATTCTGGACAATAAAGAAAAATAAAGGAAAGACTGTAAGATTAAAATACCTCTGTTCTATTAAGGATGTCTGGTGATGTAGTGGTTAGGTGCTGCTAACCCAAAAGGTCAGTGGTTCAAACCTACCAGCCACTCTGGAAGAAAAATGGAGCAGTCAGTTTTTGTAAAGATTTGCAACCCTGGAAACCCAGTGGGGGTTGCCATGAGTGAGAATTGACTGTATGGCATTGCATTTGGTTTTGGGTTTTGATGTTCTAAATAGTTGCTTTTGATATGTGTTTATGTGGGTGCATGAGTAGTAATTTTGGCAAAATCAGTGAGAGGTGGGAATCTGAGAAGGGCATTGATGAACTTTTGTTATATCAAAGTAACATTATTATATGCAAATGTGACTTCTCTTCTATGCTTTTAAAATTTGACTATTTTGACTTTTTACATGTGGTCAAGTAAGTCTGTATGAATGCAGTGCCATATCTATTACATTTTCATCACCATCACCATTTTACAATTCATCATCATTTTACAATTAATGATAATAATAGTATTAATTGAGTGCCTCTAATGGGTCGAGAGCAGTTCTAAATACTTTACTGGCATTATCTCACTGAGTACTCAAAACAGCTCAATGGGTAGTTACTCTCAGTCAAAATGTACTGATGAGGACACTGAAGGGTATAGAGATTGGATAACTGGCTCAAGTTCATACAACTAGAAGACAATATATTTGTAATCATGGTATTTCTAGTATTTAACAAGGTCCTAGAAAAATATTTTAGAAATGAAAGTGAGTGTAAGCTAATGTAGAAAAAACAGAGAAGATGAGAGCTTGTATTTCCTGAATTGAATTTCTCTATTTTCCAGAGACTGAGGACTTTTGTTTTTTTTTTATCTATGAAAAAATTATAGCTTACTCTTAGAATTTGAGTGTGATGTGATGTTTCATTAAATCCTAAAACACCAAATTCTAATCACAGTTCTCCTAAAATGTCCCATTTCATTTTATTTTCATCTACTTATTCAACAGTATTCATGTAGCAGGCTCTAGGCACTGAGCACTGAGGTTACATCAGTGGACAAAAGAGAACAATAAAACCAATTGAGATTGCGACCAAGTTTCAAAATCACCATCATGCTAAAAAAAAAAAAAAAAATCACCACCATTTTAGGAAGGAATGTAATTAAATAAATAAATACAAACTATAGCATGTTACATATTGTTAAGTGCTATGGGGGAAAATGAAGCAGGGCGATGTGATAAGGGCAAGTAGAGAGGTGGGTGTGGTGCCAAGAAAAGTGAGTGTGTACGTGCGGTGTAGTGAATAATTACATGGTATGGGTTTTCTAGCCATAGTCTCTGTAGCTTCCATTGTATTATGGGGTTGGGCCATGCAATTTCAACTCCTGATTGTTAAAGTTATCCACCTGGGATATTTCTGTTGGAGCAGCATGAAGTAATCTTCTGGGAAGTTCTCTCTCTCTTAGATGTATAGAATTCTGATGTTGGAATTGATTACTTTTGCCACTCTGCCAGGCTTAAAATGAGCCCTCCTAGCAGCAGAAAGGAATTTCTCTGACTGCCAGCTGAGAGAGACATGCTCCTGAGAGAGGGAGGACGCACTGCTGAGAGATAGACACTCAGCTGAGAGATGGTGACAGTGGAACTGAGAGGCTTGAGACAGTATGGCAGGCTTACCTAGCCCACAGAAGCAGAGGCCAGGCCGAGAGGCCAAGGGCCAGAGAGGCATGTCTAAGGGCACAACAGAGGGGAGACTGTCCTGACTAAAGAACTGTATCCTGCATATATTCCTGAATTGAATTATAGCCTGTTGCTTCCCTAACAAACCCCATAATCTGTGAATTCTGTGGGACCACTGCCGTGAATTATTTAACCCCGTAGAGAAATAGTGGGTGCCGTGAGAGGCACAGATGGTGTCAAGGTTGGTAAGAGAGCTAGAGAGTGGCAGTATGTCTGGCCTCATAGGAACAAGACTTGGGATGCTGGTGGTAATAATGTCTTCCTCTTGTGTAGTTAGAGGAGGTCAGAAGATGTCACCTTCATGCCCCTTTAGCAGTGTGTGTGTAGTGTATGTATTGCAGAGGGAAGAGTACAAAGACCTGAAGTCAAATCATGCCTGTTGTTTTTATGTTGCTAGGAGCATCAAGGAGATTAGTGTGACCAGAATAGAGTTGGTAGGGCTAGGCACAGTATTAAGAGAAAATTTCAGAGAAGTACCAAGGGACTATATATATATTTTTTCCACTTTTTTTTTTTTTATAAAGTATCAATCTGATTATGGCATGCTCATTATTTTGTGTGATTATTCATACTCCACTAGTCATTGGGTTTATTATAATATATATATATATATATATATATATATATATATATATATATATTTAATTTAAAATATATTAGGTTCATATATTTTTTTTCATGTTCTCGTTGAAGCAACTTCATAAAGAAGCCTACTTTACAATGCAATTGACATTATCCTTGAATTTCAATTTATTTACAGTGTGACCTTGAGAATATTACAAAAGCTGCTTGAGGTTCAGATATAACCCATGAGATAATTTTATCATA